ATTCTGCTATCTATCAACTTTATCATTATGCCCCGGCTGTCACAAGTACAGAGAGAAAGGGCTGTAGGCATGATCCAGGCTGGGGAGTCTCGCCGTTGAGTTGCACGGCATTTTGGTTGCAGTGTTAAGACAATTTGCCAGTTGGTAAGTCGTTTAAACCAAACTGGGTCAACATCCGATCGTCCCCGAAGCGGCCGACCCCGACAATGGACAATGTTCTGTTTTCAGATGAGTCCAGGTTTTTTCTGCAACACCGTAACGGAAGGCGCAGATCGTGGAGGCGACGAGGGGAGCGTTTTGCGAACTGCTGCGGCGCAGAACGGGACCGCTTTGGCGGCGGAAGTGTAATGGTTTTGGGTGGTATTTGTGGGGGGACTCGTACCAGACTTGTTGTGTTAAATGGCAATTTAACCGGCATTCGATATCGGGACGAAATTTTAAGACCAGTGGTTCTGCCATTCTTAAGACGCCATGGCGTTGGCGCCATTTTTCAACAGGATAACGCACCAGCGCACACCAGTCGCGTCAGCAGAACTTTCTTGCAGCAGAATAACGTACAGGTGTTAGATTGGCCATCTAAATCACCTGATTTGTCACCAATTGAGCATGTCTGGGACGTTCTTGGGCGACACGTGAGATAACGTCAAAATCAGCCGTCAAACTTGCAGGAGCTGGCCCAAGCCTTGATCACTGAATGGAACAACATCTCTCCTCGAATTATCCGCCGTTTACGAGTTCCATGCGACGACGCTGCAATGCCGTTTACTTCGCAAACGGTGGCCATACCCGTTACTAATGGTGTTACCTTTGAAATTGACCCCAACGTCATTTACAGTCGAATAAAATCAACTGAACTCAAAGTTTTATAATGAACCATGACTGCAGTTTTATCAGAATTGATCAATTACTTTATTCGTACATGATTGGTAAGGATTTATGAAGGGGTTAATTAATTAATCACAGAATAAAGTAGTGTTACCTTTCTTTTTTTGTTTAGTATATCATTAGGAACTTTATTTAGGTCACTTCACTTTCACTATTCAATACATTCACCTCTTATCGCATGTGCCCTAATACAACATCATTACACCAACATGTCAACATAATCATAATTAGGACTCTAATTCAATTAACTAGTGCAAAAAAATGAACAAAAATATTTACACGGAGACTCTTGAAAATGCTACAAGGAGAATAAGATCAGGTCTTCCGGACGCATAAGCGTCTTTTGTTTCTTCGATGGCACACGATGAAGTCTTGGTCAATCCAAATAAGTAATGTCGCGTTCTCAAGTGAGAACAAGGTATGCAATAATGGAACAAACAGGCAAACAATCAAATACGTCCAACTCAATTTCGCAGAAAGAAATAGAATAATTTTCATTGATCACTAGGACGACCGTAAAACTTCACCATAATTTTCACCAACCCGTATCATTTGAAACCCCGTGTTACATGTTTGTTCGTCATTTGACAACTTCTGACACCAAAATCGTGATAATTGGAACAAGCCCTTGAATATCGAATCATCTGCAACATGTAAACACCATAGGCTGGGGATGCAGATATATTGCTACCCGGAAAGTCTGTGGTACCTTTTGATTTCCAACTTTGGTGGTATATACGATGGACGTGGTCAATAAATTTCTTATTGAAAAAGGAGACGTTATCAATATACCTGAAATGAAATGAAATTAAAAAAAAAATTTAAAAAAAAAAAACAAAAAAAAAAAAAAAAAAAAAAACAAAAAAAAAAAAAAAAACCAAACAAACAAACAAACAAAACAAAAAAAAAAACCTTACCTGAAATTTTCAAAGGGTATAACACGGACACAATCCAAATCCACATGAATATCATTGTGAAACTGATTTCTGTTTCAATGTTATCTCCTTGGTATTTGTTCTGTCCTGTAATTTCCAAAAAGGTCACTAGCAGCTGCTAACACCTCAGCGTCAACCATATATACTTATTGATGATGAATAGTTAATAGCTTCAGAGGAAGAAATGTCACGGTTGTGGCAGACGGCGATGAATGTTTTATATGATAGTTTTATCGATGTCAGTTTTGTCGCTTCAGCAATGTCATCCTGTCCAAAAATAAGTCACATCCTTCCTGATTAGCTCGGGTTAAAACCACTGCAGCTTAATTATAAATTATAAGTCTAGGCATTTTTGTTAATAATAGTAGTTAGCAGCTTAGACAAAGGTTTGGTTAATCAGCTCCACGAACGAGCATTAATACGTTTTATTTGTATTCTTGTGAAGTTTAGGAATCCAATGTAATCGAGGGAGGAGCGATATGTTACTCTTTTTTTCTTTCAGTCAAAGGCACTTAGGTACCATGCATGCATTTATGAAGATAATTTTTTTAGGAAACAAAGAACCATCAAGGTCTACAAGTGGATACTCCAGGTTTAGTAAACTATCTTTTTTATCATATGATTTTACATATGAAGTATCTTGTTTGAGAAACTATAACCCATTATTATAACCCACTGATGTTAAATGAACATGGTTTCCCCGTCTTTCCGCGACATAACCATTCCTGTCTATGGCGCCATATGTATAAATAATACACTTTTCGTTATATTAATGTAATAGGAACTCGTCTTTGTACTGTTGTTACGATCAATACATATTCAACGAGACCGGGGAAGGCAGGTGCGACCATTTGAATTATTTCATTAATTAAACATTAGCTTCCGGTTAGCGCCTGATAAGGCTTGCTCCCGTTAGCTCGTGACAATTTTTATAATTTTCACGAATTGGTGAATTTATCCTGGCTGATATTGGTCAGATTATTGTTTAAGTAGTTCTTGTTTATTTTTACGCTCCCACTTACTTGGTGAATAGTATAATCATTTCACATTTTAGATATTTAATTTCCAACACACGGGATCATTACCGTTGATGTGGGACGAAGAGACTCAAATTTCTAACGTATATGGATCATATAGCTTTTTGTGATTTTTCGGCCACTTTTTGACATCTCGCCCACTTAACAAAACATCTAGATAAATATTACATCTTGACTGAATTTATTTTCTCTGCTTAGTTCTAATAACATGTTCTGTTAACTTATAAGTTGATACGGACATCTGTTATTGTATCACATGACTATGTGCACAGGCACTCGAGGCCAGGATATTATTTTTCAAACATTGATTTTTGTTTTAGCACTCATGACTGACGTTATTTAAACGAAATATCAGCAGAATTCAAGTTTATGTGCCGGTTGACAAATCCGAGGTCCACGGTCATTAAAAATACACAAGGCAAGCAACTCCAGATTTTAAAAAATCGACCCCTCGCTTGGAAACTGGCTCAAAAAAAGTAGTTATGATAAGTTCCTTGTAAAACAATATGTATCCGTAGGTAGTGTGTATATTTACCTTTTATTTGGTGCATAACATTACAGGCAACGAGAAATTCACAATACGTACATGAGATTAACATCTCAATAATCGGAGATTTTATCGTCCATGTAATTATCTTTGACGGAAGTAACACGCCATTTCAAGGGCGGTCACTCCGACTTTTTGGGAGAGGAGTTCCAGATAGCACTATACCAGTGAACAGGTAAGAAAGGTTCCGATGTCATTTCGCGCGTAACTTCAAAATAGATATTTTTATTTCTACAAATACATTTGCGGGGATGGAAAAATAATGGCTGGGCAAAGAAAGTCCACAGTTGCCAACTCGGATACAATATCATGGTAAGGGATTATACAGAATGCATCAACTTTCAATCAAGCTGGCGGTAATGAGAATTTTTTTTCAAAAAAAAAAAAAAAAGAAAAAAAATCATGCAGATAATGAAAAAAGGGCGCAATTTATGAAAAATATCGTGGGGGAAATATATTAACTTAGAAATTGGAAATTAAATGATTTTTTTTCTATTTTTTTTTATTTTGAAGTTACGCGCGTAATGACATCGGAACCTTTCTTACCTGTTCACTGGTATAGTGCTATCCGGAACTCCTCTCCCAAAAAGTCGGAGTGACCGCCCTTGAAATGGCGTGTTACTTCCGTCAAAGATAATTACATGGACGATAAAATCTCCGATTATTGAGATGTTAATCTCATGTACGTATTGTGAATTTCTCGTTGCCTGTAATGTTATGCACCAAATAAAAGGTAAATATACACACTACCTACGGATACATATTGTTTTACAAGGAACTTATCATAACTACTTTTTTTGAGCCAGTTTCCAAGCGAGGGGTCGATTTTTTAAAATCTGGAGTTGCTTGCCTTGTGTATTTTTAATGACCGTGGACCTCGGATTTGTCAACCGGCACATAAACTTGAATTCTGCTGATATTTCGTTTAAATAACGTCAGTCATGAGTGCTAAAACAAAAATCAATGTTTAAAAAATAATATCCTGGCCTCGAGTGCCTGTGACTATGTGGTGATCTTTGCAATATCTTATCGTTATACTGCATAGCTTGGGTAGGTCGCCATCTTTGTTTCATAGGCTTCCAATAGGTCGTGTATATGTTTCCACATTGTCTTGTTCTGTGAAGTCTACTTTATTTCATACAGATTGGTGATATCAGCTTTTGTAACATAGTTTATTCAATTTCACTTACTTTAATTTTAATTATGATAGTCAGGACAACATCCCTTTCGTTGTAAACGTACTACGACTCATTCTCGTTATATAGCACTCGACGAGTCACACGTAAATTTCTAATTAAAACGGTATAATACAATTATTTAGACCATTTTGACATTTTAGTAACATTCTTTGATGACATAATATCATATTCAAAAGTAATAATTGAAGAACTCTATTTATTCTTTAATTGACGAGTTTGTCATTCAATTATATTACACCGGAAACGACATTTCGTCCACTAATACACTAAGGTAATAACATTGAGTATAATAATCTGTTTTCATTTAAGTTTGTGTCTTTATTCGAAACCAATCGGGGAGATTTGTCGTCGTCATAACCTTCAGTACCATTGTTATGCCGACGACACACAAATCTACATGGTTATCAGACCTCAAGACAACTGGAACATAATAGTAGCAAGTCTTGAAGCCTGTCTTAATGACATCAGTGCTTGGATGAACTCAAATACGCTCAAGCTCAATCAGGAAAAGACGGAACTGATCGTCTTTTCCCACAAGTATCAACACACTAAAGGTCTCCAGTTAAAGGTCGGTGCCCAAACTTTTGAGGCCGTCCAAGCTGTGAGAAACCTTGGTGTACACTTTGATAGCTCTCTGAACATGGAGAAACAGATAAACTCAATTGCCAGTTCCTGTTATCACCAAATCAGAAACATTGGGGGTATCCGTCAGTTCATCACCACAGATGCATGCAAGACATTGGTACATTCTCTTGTTACTTCTAGGTTAGACTATGGTAACGCGTTACTCGTTGGTGTATCTGATACACTAATGAGCCGCCTGCAGAGGGTACAGAACACCGCAGCACGCTTAGTTACCCGTACTCGAAAGAGGGACCACATTACACCAGTCCTTTACTTATTGCATTGGCTGCCCGTGCGATTCCGGTCACAGTACAAGATTTTGATGTATACATACAAGGCAATAAATGGAACAGCTCCTGAATATTTGCAGGAACTTGTCACCGTTTATCGGCCGTCACGATCACTACGATCGGAGACAGAATCCTTGTTGTGCGTTCCGAACTCTCGGACTGTGACTTATGGTAACCGATGCTTTGGAAAGGTAGCGGCCACTTTGTGGAACAGCTTACCATCTGCTACTAGAAAGTCAAAATCCCTGGCCAAATTCAAGAGGGATATTAAAACCCACCTGTTTACGTCTGCATTTTAGACTCTCACGCAGACGTCCTGTATATACATACTTTCACCACTACTTACTTGATTTGGTTACTGTGTTACATATGTTGATTACTGTGTTATACATGTTCTGTAAATTTTGTAGTAAGATTATTATGTAATTGTGAAGCGCATTAGAGTATTTTGTCACAATAGATAGTGCGCTATATAAATGTTGTATATTATCATTTATTATTATTAATGTCAAAGCAAATGTCACTGGATGAGAGCATAACATTTATTCTACAAATATGTCTACAAACACAAGAAGCCTACGTGTATTAACGAAGTTATCTGAGGACTATACACTTGTTTTTGTTGTTGCTGTTGATGTTGTTGTTATTACTATTGTTGTTAATGAAGTTGTTGTTAATATTGTTGTTGTTAATGAAGTTGTTAATATTTTAGTTGTTGTTGTTGTTGTTAATATTGTTATTGTTGTAGTTGTTGGTGTAATTGTTGTTAATATTGTTATTGTTGTAGTTGTTGGTGTAATTGTTGTTAATATAGTTGTTATATTGTTGTAGTTGCTAATATTGTTGTTGTTGTTAAAATTGTTGTTGTAGTTTTTGTTATTATTGTTGTTGTTGTTGTTAATATTGTTATTGTTAATATTGTTGTTGTAGTTGTTGTTAATATTGTTGTTGTTGTTGTAATTGTTGTTAATATTGTTGTTGTTAATATTGTTGTTGTTAATATTGTTATTGTTGGTGGTGTAATTGTTGTTAATATTGTTATTATTGTAGTTGTTGTTACTGTTGTTGTTGTTGTTGTTAATATTGTTGTTGTTGTTGTGATTGTTTTTAATATTGCGTATTACAAATTTAAGTGCCATCACACTTTGATTATTCTTAACAATTATGAATTATATATAAAATTGTAAAGTTGCATAAAATTGTTAATTCTATATATAAGTATTAGGACACCTTAAGACTCTCCCATGCACAAAGAGTATTTGATTCTTTCACGTCTGTGCTTTGAGGTGATTTTGTAAATTTGATGGGCCAATCAGGGTCAATATGTATACCATTAAAACTAGGATATACTTAGGATTCTTATTGAATTAAGAATTGGATTACATTTGTTATATCGGGATGCTCTTTTTCTGAGTTTTAGAGGCAATTAATATTTTGCCTATTATTGATGAAAGTGACTTAATAGGAAAATAACAATAACAAAATCAATGATATTCATGTCTCCGATGGAGATGTAATTTATACAAATAGTATATAATATGCTCTTTTATATACAAATAGTATATAATATGCTATTTATATAATCAAAGATGATAAAGCCTTTTTTCTTTACTCCATTCAGAAGAAATACCAATATTTCAATACAAAAATGATAGGTAACTTGTCAGATTTCAACTTTTTATTATTATTTTTGATAAATTGATGCTCTCTTTCAGAAGTATGAAAACATGCCAAAATTCAATATCATAACTCAAAATTTTCAATCTGAGTCTGAAATAAATAAATGAAAATATGGCCGAGATATAGGAAGCTTAAAACATCAATACCAAATTCCGACAATTTCGTTAAATATATCAACCATTATCTGCAATTAAAACACGAAATGTCAGTGTGACGTCATATGTTTGATGCAAGTGGAAGTCATGCCAAATACAAAAGGCAAGCCACTTTTGTCTTTCTTCACCCTCGCCAAAATACAGCTCATATTTTAAGACACTGACCATGTATTCTCTATTTTTAATTTTTTTAACTGATGTTGACGTTACGCTGAATTTTGCCTGATGAAGGTCGCCTAAGTAATTTTTCCACACACCACCACCAACACCAACACCACACCCACACCCACACACGCCCAACCTCTCTCTCTCTCACACACACGCGCATCTTCACACACCCTCACCCTCACCCATACACCCTCACCCTCACCCATACACCCTCACCCTCCTCCCCCCACACACACGGTACACATTTCAGTACACATAATAGCAAAAATCAATTCCGATAATATATATTTTTCATCAATACATGATTTGTCGATGAACATATCAAATGTACATACAATACATACAATTACATAAATAGGTGCAAAATTAACGTTAAATTCCAATTGAACTTAAAATGGATTGTTTGTTTCCTTTTATTCAATGTTTACAATAGTAAATATACATGTATATTATGATATAAACCAGGGAATATGTACATAATTATTCTTCTGTCAATTTAGCAATTTTATCTTTTTTACATGTATTTCATAAAATTCAACATTTTAGTTTATTATTATTAGTTATTATTGTTGAATAATATACATGTACATTACTGAATGATATATATATACTCTTTATTTTAAACAGAGTTACGGTTCTTTGTGGTCAATCTGATCCACCTCACTATTAAGACCACCTCGCTATTAAGACCACTTTTGTCCAGTCCCCAAAGTGGTCTTAATAGCGAGGTTTCACTGTACATATATCCTGTTTTTTGCAAAGAAAAACAAACGAAATGAGTACAATATAAAAGTAGTCGATGTTGGTGGTAGGAAAAGGATGTAGACAGGATGAATAATGCATGGACATGAGTTTGTAAAGTAATACTGTAAAGTCCGATATTTTCGAGGTATGCTTTGTTCGTGGACATGTAAATTCTTGGATTAATAACAATAACCGCGACATTAACAAAGAATCCCTCACAAATATTGCTTGTTTTACAGTATATATAGTATATATAGTGACAACAACAGACAATTCAAAACATTTACGATGTGTATGCTTGGATTATGGAGTGATCGTTAGGGCAGCCGGGAATCTTACTTTTGACAGATGCAACCTTATATCTGATTGTTAAAATTTTCGCGGCTTAACCAAAATTTGAATGGGTTGCATTTTGCATAGATTCGATGGGTTATTTTTTTTCTCTTTGTATAGATTTTATTTTCTATTAATCTATTTTACACAGGTTCATGCTACCTCAAAAATGATAATAAAGATTAACCGCTCAAACGGAAAGTGTTTGACGTTATGTTCCCGCAACCAAAATAGTACACCTTCCTAATACTGAATAATTGTAATCCCTGTGCACTTAATCGTGAAACTGCATAACACGCTGAATATGTTTAGTTGAAATTGACGATGTTTGGGATCCTTATGATAAAATGATATTCAGATATCGTTGTGTTTCATAAAACTAAAGTGCCTACATCTATCTATGACCCACGTGCTTGTCGATATTGAGGTGGAATACTTAGCGAACGTGTGCATCGTCTTGGAAAAACAAGTTCAAGATTTTAAAGCACACATGTGGAAATAATTGACACTTGTAAACATAGTGTTTTAATTTATGTGATCTGTTGATAACAAAAGCGAACCACCAGTTAAGAATAAATGTAACTATAATGGATTGATATACAGCAAGTTACATCGTAATTGACAAACCTTTAATTTCTCCTGGTTTACTTATATAGCTTAATGCACCTATACATCGTTCATGGTGAGTTCACACAGCCTCCAGCTGTCGCTGTTGGTACTCTGCATGATAATATGGACGTTCGAACACTTCAGTAGCGTGTCACATTCACATTGCACGTCACACCGAGTCAAACTAGAATTATAGTTCTCAGATAACAACTTACAGAACACAAAATCCGACGATTCCATGCTGCATTCACCATTGGTAGCAGGACTGGAAGTTCCAACCTAAAGTGAAATCAATATAGCTTTAATTTTTTTCTCTATAGTTCGATATCGTTCGGAAGATCGATATTGAAAAGACAGAGGTATACATGTGGATACGTGAATATTATTTCATATCATGTCATGATTCATCATATATACCAAATAAAATTGGAAATCAAGAACACGACAGACTCTTCTACATCAAACGCTGATCTTTTCCTACAACGAAATCAACTTGGAAAGCTTTCAACCCATATGTATCATAAGCATCATGATGTCGATTTCCCTTTAGTGATTTTTCCATTTCTGGATAGCCAAACACCTAAATCACAACCTATGGTTTTTCATGTCCCAGATGATTCGATGTTCCAGGACCTTTTTTCCCAATATCGCAATTTTCGTTCAAGTGATCTCATTGAGAAATATTTATTGTGTTCTCAATACTTTAAGTGACCATTTGAGATTCATTATGCGGATATCATCAAACTGTCATCATACCAAATTTGAGCTGCCAAATGTATTTCCGACAGAAAGCAAACGAATTTTGATAATAAGTATAACTTTCTGAATAAACTATGGTAAACTCCACCCAATGAGAGAAATGTCAGACTTTTATGCCATGAAACTGACGATTTTGGTAAAGCGCCATACAAGACCTTTCCATCAATGAAGAATATCTTCTTACAACACAGCTGACTATTGAGAAGAAATTGCAGCCAAATGTTTACGACGCAAGACGTACATCGTACGACGCATGACACCGAACAGGCATTGTCCGCATTAGGTCGCCACGAGACTTCGTCTTGATGCGGAATTTTGCGCACAAATAAACAATCACACGAATGAAAATGTAAATAACATTAGGAACTTACAAGGAGGCTTTTTTGTCCAATGCGTGCGCATTCTATACCTTCCCCAGTGAAATGAACTGTAAATCTCTTTGACGTCACATTGAAGAGATCTAGACGTGTAACCCTCAGCCATAGTTTGGAAGGGGAATCCCCCGGGACGGGTAAATCAAAGCATGTGTTCAAGTCCTGGTCCAAAGCATATGGCAACTTTCTTAATAATATCTTACTGTCGTCTCTTGCAAAAGTGACGTACTCACTTACTGCAAAAAAAAAAATAAATAAATAAAATAAATATACATATATAAATAAATAAACAACGATATAGTAAAATGTGTGTGTACAGTGGCAGGTGTTCTTTTTAATGTTACAGTACGGACGTGAGGACTTTTGGCGAACTATGCAAAGACAGCATCAATATATTGTAGAAACGAAGTTTTACAAATGGCAACTGTTCGGACAACTACACACAGAGAAAACAATAGTGTGTTTAGATAAAGAGGACTACATGCTGACAATTCGAATATATATATATATATATATATATATATCAACATATAAGAATAGTGTATGACTAGGAGAGCTATACACAGATATGACGAGTGTATTGTTTGTAGGGTGATACACAGATAAGACGAGTGTATTGTTTGTAGGGTGATACACAGATAAGAAGTGTGTATTGTTTGTAGGGTGATACACAGATATGACGTGTGTATTGTTTGGTGCGGCTATACACAGATAAGACGTGTGTATTGTTTGTAGGGCTATACACAGATATGACGTGTGTATTGTTTGTAGGGCTATACACAGATAAGACGTGTGTATTGTTTGTATGGTGATACACAGATAAGACGTGTGTATTGTTTGGTGGGATATACGCAGACAAGACGTGTGTATTGTTTGTAGGGCTATACACAGATAAGACGTGTGTATTGTTTGTAGGGCTATACACAGATAAGACGTGTGTATTGTTTGTAGGGCTATACACAGATAAGACGTGTGTA